GATGTTTCATTTTATTTTACTTTTATTTTACCATTTTGAGCACGCAAACAATTCTTTGTCTATCTGAATTCTGAATGCCCGTTCGAATCATGTTTGGTTATAGACACATTTATAACTTCTGTTTAAAATATTTTTATTATATTTTTAGCTGTTATCAACATTATTTATTATTAGAAATTATTATATAGTATTATATGAAGAGTTTATTTGCAAAAAAGGATAACTCTGTTTTTAACTATTTAAAAAAAATGAAGTTTTTTTTCATTGTGTATTCCAATTAATCTCAATCAAACTGCAGTTGGGTTATTTTGATATAAAGTAAAAATAACTAAAAAAATACAGCTAACTAACCCAATAAAAACATGATAACATAAAAAAAACATGATTTTTGAACATTTAAAAAAACGGAGTTGTTTTTGCAAATAAACTTCATATTTTGACAAATATAAATTATTGTCTGTATTCAACATTTATATACAGTGTGCATATAGGAATTAAATGTTTTAATTTGTAACATATTATATTACATTTAATATAATTAGATTTTTTTATTATTATAAATAGTAGCAGTAGTTGAATGCACATTTAAAGCAATTAAAATTGCTTAGTAAAACTAAGCAAAGACATTCTAAATTATTATAAATTAATTAAGCTATTAATTAAGCTTTGTCATTAACATTTATATGAATAAAATACACCATATATCATAGATTGGTTTGAACTTTCCCATTGTGCTGTGAAGCTGTCCACACTGTAAAACAGAAGCTGTCTTTGTAGGTTTTGAGACACATGTGATGCACAACTAGCAATAAGAAGAAACACCGAGCCGAATGTGAATCGGTATTTATGATGTTTTTATCACTCACAGAGAAATGAATCTGAACCCATTTGTCATCATGACACTGTTTTCCCATCATGGACTGATGATAAATGTGAAAATCACACTGACGGCAGATAAGCAACAAATATTGTTGGGAAAATCCACATGCTTTAAATGAAACTGCTCAGAGAAAAGCAGGGTTCATTCATTCATTCATTCATTCATTCATTCATTTATTAAGCACCGATAAACTGTACAAATAAAATAAAACCAGAAAAAAGAATAACATCAGTAAAATCAAAAGATAATTTAACAATGGGCTCATTCACTTCCTTAAAACACAGTACTGTTCATAGGTTTGCTTATGGATTCATGCTTAGACATTATAAAATCACTGTTATAACATTTAAAATCACATTGAGTCAAAGTTTACCATTTTGTTCATACAGACATATCAGTTTTTACAATAATGCCAGATTATGATTACAGTGAAACCTGAAAATGACACATAAACTCTTAAAAAGAGAAGACTTGCAATAAAGTATTGTCACCTATTTATTACAAATATCTATATCTGCAACAAAATGCGTGTGCATGTATGTCTGTGTATGTGTGTGTCTGTGTGTGTGTGTAAGCATGCTTATTGAGTATTAATATAATAGTTTAACCATTTAATTTCTCTCTATGTGTGTGTGTCTGTGAGCATATTCTCCATTTTGGATGTGTTTTACTGTCAGCCATACATCCAGGTTGGCCCAGACCCTAAAAGCATACCACCTCAAAAGCCTTAAAGTGCTTGAACCCCGGTAATTGCTGCTTGCAGCTATATTTAAAATTAAAACTGGAATAAAAATTAATAAAACCTATATAGGCATTTTTAAAAACAATAAAAAGCTGATAAAAATGACAAAAGTACAGAACAAAATAACTAAAACTTTAACTAAATTAAAATGAAACCAAAAAAATATAAAAATAAAATCTAGTTCAAAATAGTAGCAGAAGCTATAATTAATACTAAAATAACAGTCATGCAGTGAGATGGAGACTAGTTTTGTAACCTCACTGTTAAACTGTCTAATGGCATTAATATTCAGCGTGGAGCAGAAAGTCATTACAGCTCCGGCCATCAGCATGTGCTGCCACATGCTCCTCGTCCCGCGCCATGCTTTATTCACGCTGGAAATCAAATAAATCCCAGGAAAGCAGAAGGTGTGTGAGGAGCTCAGTTGAATGCAGAATGAAGACATGGATCTGTTTTCCAGCAGAAGCTGAGAGGAGAGATGGGCAGCACTCTTAAATATTACATCTCATGATGTCAGAGAAAATGAGCAGCATCTAAAGTCATGTGTGACGTGTGACAGGAGAAACACTGATTACTGCAGGACCGATGCGTGTCTCCTGTTCACTCGCTGTGACTCTGCTTTCTGTTTTACAGCAGCTTCAGAGGTCGCTCACACAGGCATTCATGCTTTCAGTCTTTTTTTGATGTGATGTTTTGGTTTGTGCCCAATCAATCAATCAATCAATCAATCAATCAATCAATCAATTAGGGTTGGGCGATGTCTAGCAAATTGGCATCGGACGATGTCTACAGTGAAACATCGTGATGGATGATGTCATCAGGGGGCGGGGTTAGGGGGTGTGCCCAAAGCGTGAATCATATGCAGAAAGCCACGGAAAACAAATAACACGTTCTACGGAGCCACTAATGGGACATGGTTAGCCGCTTGCTAGAGGTAGACTGTTACATTACAGTACATGAAAGTTCACTTACCACATACACCGAGTAAGGAGAGATGACTGATAGGACAATGGCGAATTATTTGCAGATACTGAGCACCACTGACAAATATCTAATCTTGTAAAATGTGTGGTAGGTGCTGCTGCTCCATAGTATAGAGTCCATGTGATCGCGAATCTCGAAAGTGAAAGTAAAATGAGAGCGCGCATTCGAAAGCGGTTTCAATGCCCTGCATATTAGTAGCGGCTGATGGCCGCAATTTAATTACCCAACGATATGATTGCGAGAGAAAGTATTGAAATATTTTTTTTTTATCCTCCCATCTAGTAGGCTATTTATTCCCTTTTGGGGTTCCGTAGTACACTTAATTTCCTTTCCGAACACGGAGTTGGGATGCGGCGGATTGCGGGGGGTATGGGGGGGGTTACGATGCCGGCTCAACATCATGATGTCTGTCAGCCATCAGCGATGGACGATGGCATCGTCTATCGGCCCAACCCTACAATCAATCAATCGATCGATCAGTCAATCAATCAGTCAATCAATCAGTCGTTCAGTAAATAAATAAATAAGTACAATAAATAAATAAATAATAATTTAAGTATTTGAGTCACTGAGGTTGTAAATAAAACAAATATTACTGGAGTATGTCTACAATAAAATACTATTTCAGTCTTTCTACTTAAAATATGAATGTCTAATTCAATATGTTACTTGCCATTTATTTTGTATTCAATTTGTGAAGATTTATTCTATTATTTATTCTATTTGTGAAATTTGCTAGCAATTTCTAAGTGAAAATTGTTTCATTGCCATTTTTTCCAGTGTAGATTGAAGGAAATTACTAGTACTAATTTACAAAGTAATTTTGAAACAGTTATTTCAGTTTTTTTTTTATTTTAATTCATTCATTCTTTCTTTATTAATTTTTTTATGTATTTATTTATTTATTTTTGGGAATTTGGACATACTGACTCAACTTATATCCTTGTGAGATTTAGGACTGTAACTATGTTCAATTTAAAAGTTTATTTTAATATTTTAATAATTTATTTGCTGTATTTTATGTAAAACATATTCCTTATTCCTTTTTATGTCCAATATTTTTTTTTTCAAACAGACACATACATGCATACATGCATACATATATATATATATATTAGGGCTGGGCAAGTTAACACGTTATTATCGCGTTAACGCATTAATTGATTAACGCCGACAGTTATTTTATCGCGCATTAACGCAGATTTTTATTATTATGAAAGTCCGTTGCTCACTGGCTCTGAATACACATACAGACAAACCATGGGTCACAGGAGGGTGTGATGTTGATCAGTACTGGCTTGGGGTGAGCGTCATCACGCGTCTCAATGAGAGCATTTGGGGTTTGCCTAAGACTGCAGCAGCGACTTCATAAGTGGGAAATGGGAAGTTTCCGATAGCGCGTGAAGAAGCAGAGAAGTGCTCTCGCTCAACACAGTGGAGTGCATCGTTTTGTTAACTTTGTGGTTTATTATTTTGAGTCGTTTGGGACGCGGTAACACACGGCCCTCTCACAATATATTGCTTTACAGATCTATCACTTTTGCCACTCAGAAATGTTCACGCAATCATGCTGCAGGTATCAGAAGTTCAGTTAGCGCTCACACTCACTGATCTATATATAACTGAACTGCGCTCTGACCCACCTCCTCCAACCGAGTGCGGCACGGAGCGATCACACTAGTCAAACAAACCGGGCTTTGCCTAGTGTAGTACACCCTAATTATTCTCCTGCATCCCGCACACACGAGTCTTGACCCGCCCATCAAGTGTTGTCCCGCGCCGCACTCTGCTGCGTTAGGTCCCACGATAGTGCAGGTCTCTACTCGGAAGGCACCTGTTATAATGTTATGATCGAGGCTCTGGACTCTGAGCAGAACTTGTTTTTCTATAACAAACTATAAAATATTTTCTATAAAAATGTTAATTCCCTGGCAGTGGCAAATAGCTTTTCTGTAAAAAAGCACCTTATTTGTTTAAAGTGTTTGCAAACTAAATTTTATTGCACTTTTGTTCATATAGCAGTACTTTTAAATGAAAAAAGTACACTACTTTTGAATTCATTATTGAATTTTGTGCATAATACGATTATGTATATATATATATGTGTGTGTGTGTGTGTGTATATAAAATTCATGTGACACCGAAGACTGGAGTAATGATGCTGAACATTCAGCTTTGATCAAAGCAATCAATTACATTTGAACAGATATTCACATAGAAAACAGTTATTTTAAATTATAATAATATTTCACAATTTATGCATTAACACACAGCATTAATGAGCAGAAGAGACGTTTGACCAGTAATGTAGTTTCCTGGATGATTGCATTGAGTCTATAAGTGTTCATTCATATGCATTCATGCTGAAAACTTTCATCTGTGGTTCCTTCACAGATCTCAGGAAAACATTTGACCAGGAGCCTCTGGGGAAGGAAGTGTCACTCGAACAGGAAGTGCTTCTCCAGTGCCGCCCACCAGAAGGAATACCTGCTGCTGAGGTACCGTCTCTCTCACACACACACACACACACACACACACACACACACAGACAGAGCGCGGCACTCTCCGCTGATGAATTTTATATTGAATTAGAGATTAACGTTTGTTATGGGCCGAAGCAAAGGTAAACTGCTCGGCAGCTGATGTGTAGATAACTCAATCACCTCAACTAAATGTCAGCCTTTGTTGAGAAACATTTAGCTCAGTGGCCACCTGTTAATTCCTGTTTAGCTACACACGACATATCGATTGGGACATCGATTGCAGCAGGAGTGGGCTGTCAGACAAACTCGTCCTAACAACAGCAGAAAGTTTGAGCTAAACAGGATTAGTAAGTGGCGGTCGTAAAGGATTTTCTCAAAGCATCCGCTCTTTTTTTCTTTCCCAAATAATCCATCTTTGCCATGACACAGAGAGTGGAGTGGGCTGCAATCCGCCAGCAAAACATCCTCCAGGCAGCTTAAGACACTCAATGGACAGATTTGGGAGGCAGGTTTAACTCGAACGCCTCGGTCTGTGTTTTTGCTGCGCTTTTAATCATCTGAACACACGTTATGACTACCACCATTAACTTAAGACTATCTTCAGCTCGCTCGCTTCCTCAGAAGACAAGGCTTTAGTGAAAATTACTGTGAAAAATTATTTGGGCGCACCGGTGCGAGTGACCCAATCAAAGCTCATCAATAGTTGCATAATCCAATTCAAATGAACCTTCTGTGCTGCTTGGCCATTTTTTTACCGAAAAATTTTACTTATTGGTTTTTTTTTTTAGATTTTTTTTTTACTTCATCAAAATAAAACTGGTGCAAAAAAGTTTTGGCACTTGCTATGTGAACGCACCATTTAAAAAAAATCATGGACATGAAATTACTCGTAAAAAATGACCACATTGGAAATGAATTTGAAACGAATTTCATCTAGTGGTAACATTTGGTACTGCACCCAAACAAAATCTTAATTTTTTGTTGCTATATCAACTAGGGGTGTGCGATATTGACGAAAAATTATATCTCGATATTTTATGGGATTTTATCGATAACGATAATTGGACGATATCTTGCTGAGTGTGTATAGCAGACGATATATATCGCACACCCCTAATATCAACCTCAAATTTGGAACACGAACATGAATGGCTTTGATTTTTTTTCACAGTTTTAGCGTAAAACAGGTTTTGGAAAATAAATATTTCATATAGAAATGTAAAAATATTTGTGTATAATATCATTGTTCGTAATAATAAGCTACTACTAATTTTTTACTTTTTTTTTTTTTTTTTGCTTCAGCAATAAAGTGTCGTCTTTAAAAACAGACCAATCTTAAGTCTGCACTCCAAACCATTTTAAGATGTACGACAGTTTAAAGGGGTCCTATTATGCTCTTGTACAAAGTCTTGATTTTGTTTTGGGGGTGTACTAGAACAATGCCTGGCATTGAAAGTGCTTTAGAGTGGACGATCGCTTTTTAGTTTCACTTTCACTTTCGAGATTCGCGATCGCACGTACTCTGTTTATACTACTGTGCGGCAGTACTTAGCACACATTTACGTAGGCGGGAATTATTTTAATAATATTCTAATGGGCCGCTTTGTGACATCACAAAACCCGTAAAACAACGCTGTAGTCCAAACGAGCCGTTCGTTGTAGTTCTTGAAAAGGGATTTTTTAAAAATCTTCCTTTGGAGTGGACTTTGAGATTTGTAACTTTGGAGATCTTTTTTATGCCCAAACATACACACTACACACTGACTAAAATTCAAAAAGTGAAAAAGCATAATAGGACCCCTTTAAGTTGGAAAATTCATGTCAGGTCTGTGTTCAAACAGTGGTTAACAGGTAATAAATGGATCGTAACTATTCCATAAATATAGTTTAGTACCATAAAATCTCCTAAAAATATAAAATATAAAATAAAAAACATTATCAAACTAAAATACAGCAGATTCATGTCATTGAAATAAAAAATAAATTGACTGCCACACAGGGAGCATCAGGAGGGTTAAAACTACAACTTCAAATGCATCTGCACTGCAGATGATGTACGTTTTAGGCACAATATTGTCTGAATGTCTCTATTTCAGCAACAAAAATAGTTTCAAACGAAGTCACAGCTGAGCTGCTGTGAATCTCAGAGCAAAACATGATGACCGGATCTGCGTTTTTGAATGAATCGGGTGAGTCAGTGATTCAATGACTCATTCATAAGGACATTGAATCAGCTGAATGAATCAGCTGCCTTAATGAATCGACTGAATTGATGATTCAGTGACAAAGACCAGTGAATTGTTGTTTTAGTTTAATTTTATTAAAAGTATTACTTCAATTATTTGAATCGTGTAATATTTATGTGACTGCTCAGAAGGTGCACATACATTTTTTGACTGCTTCTAATTTGTTTAGCATGGAGTCCTGGAAAAGTTAAAGCGGGACGTGTTTATATAAGCACCTCGGATGTTTAGAGCAGAATGGGACGTTACGTTACAGATGCACACATGCACAGTGTCAGAAACGAACAACGGCTTTTATTGGGTGAAATTGCTGGTGGAATATTGTAGAGCAGTTGGAGCGTTTGGTCGTGTGCAGATAAGCGGCGTCTTTCATGCGGCGCTGCTGCTTTTCACACAGGTTTGGATGTTTCCTTCTGAAAGATCACAGAATGACCAATCGGCTTTTTGTGGCCACAGGGAAAGTTGTTTATTTCCTGTTTGGGCTGGAAAAATGGGGGGAAATTTAAACAAGCTTGTATGCAAGTTGTGAGTTATGAATGCATAAAATAAATACTGCATCAATGCAAGGATCTGAAGTTTCAGTGCAAGTAAAAGTGCAGGGTTATGTGATGGTATCAGCACAGATCTGTTGTGTTTGCTGAATCAATAAATGTAAACCTTAATGATCAATAGAAAGTTCAAAAGAACAGCATTCTTGTATAAACCACCTACCTTTTAAAGTTTTTCCCAAATCTTGCAGTCATAAAAGGATTTCACAATCAAAAAATAAAATGAATGAATTAAAAATTTACAAAATTAAAAGCTAATCTGGAATTTAAATGTTCAGCATTTATTATTATTAGTATGTAAAATTCTTGCAAACTTGTTTAATTAAAAATGTACATTTTCAGCATTTATTATTATTATTATTAGTAGTAGTAGTAGTATTGATTATTTTATTTTATTTTTGCACTCCAAAATAAACTAATTAAATCTTACTTGAATATATTTATTAAAGTAACTGGGAGAAAATTCCTGTATTTTTTTCTCAGCACTTTATATATTGCAGAAAAACACGGCATCACGGTTTTTTTCCAACATCATGCAGGTCTAGTTTGGTTCTTTACTGAAGAATTTATTAAATCCCTGTGGATAATGATTGAATATATAGTTTAGCATTCATTCATTATGGCATTTTCATCAGTTGGATTTAAGTCGAAAGCTCGTCCAGCAGCACTTAACCAAACACGAGCTGCGTTCAGTGAAACCCGCGAGCGCTGGGAGTCAGATGAGACGATCTCTGATTGGCGCTGGAGAGCTTTTCCTTTGATTGGCTCTGAAAGGACCCACGCTTGACCTGGAAAAGGCGAGTGAAGTGACCAGAAGCCAGACGGCTTTATTGCAGGTGGAAATGCTGACAGAACAAATGGGCCGTAATCAGAAGGGAGCCGTTTCCCACCAAGTCCACAAACTCAAGGAACAATTTCTTCCTTTAACAGAGGAAGGACCTTTCTGGCAGCAGAAACATCTCACTCTCGCATTAAAAGCAGTTTGCATCGGGAAGATTGTACATCACAGATGGCGCCCGCTTCATTTCACTTGGCATATTCTGCTGAAGTTATTTTCTTCCTTCCATCATTTGTTTGTGCCATTATGTTTCTCAGCTCAAACACGATTCGATCCGAGTCGATTCCATCACATATCTATATATCTCTGCTGGTTTTCTTTTGCATCAGTCCTTGTATTGATAGTATAGTTGAAGCAGTGATGTTTTATTTTATCATTGAAATACTATTATAGTTTGTTAATATTTAGAATTTATATTCAAATATATTGATAATATTGTTAATATT